GTATCGTTATTATCCACATTTTTGTCTTCATTATAATCCCCACTTCGTTATAATCCCTCAATATATAAAACACTTTCACATTGAAAGCCATACAAAATATACTTCAATAGTGTCCCCACTTTTCAACAACTATTAGAATTGGTGAAAAATATTTAAAATTCGTTAAAAATGTTTACTAATTTGACAAACGAAACAAAATGTTGAATAAAACTCGAAATAAACTGTTGTTAAGATATAATTAAAATGTTATAATCAGTGTCTACAATAGTCTATACATGGAGTGAATACAAGTTCATTATAATCAACATTTCATTATAATCCCCACTTTTCGAAAATTTCATGTGGGGATTATATCAAATTTCGACTGTATTTGATTTCAAATTACAAAACATTGGATTTGTTTTAAAAGTTTATAAAAAACATTAAACCATTATTTAAGCGTATTTTAACAAATTCAACTCAATTAATAATATAAATACTGTAATAGGAAATTAATGAATACGCTTAAGAGGGTAAAATTCTTTAGGGTAAAAAATTTTAGGTTTATAAAAATGATTTAAAATTTAAATTGTAATCTATAATTCTTGTTAATATGCCGTCAAAGCTATTAGATCTCCGGTTATATAAATATATTAAGTTTACAATACAAATACAGTACAGAATTAATGTTATGGAAAATATTTCTAAAAATAATAATAAATAAAAATATTTTGCATTTTAATAGAAGAATGAAATGTTTGACCGACTTTTGCATTAAAAATATTTTAATAGTAATTATTTGTAATAAAATAATTGATTGACAACTAAATGGAGAATAAATGTATTGATTTGTTTGATAGGATCCAAAACGCCGAAAGTAGAGCTAACGATATCTATAGATGGAGTGGCCATTCAAGAGCCCAAATCGAAGCGCATCTTCCATCAGTTCCCATTGCATCGCATCTCTTACTGCGCGGACGACAAGTCAGAGAAAAAGTTCTTCAGTTTTATCGCCAAAGAGAGTGACTCCGAGAAACACATCTGCTTTGTGTTCGTGAGCGACAAATTGGCCGAAGAGATCACACTAACCATCGGTCAGGCCTTTGATTTGGCTTATCGTAAATTCCTGGAGACGTCGGGACGCGATCTCGAGATGAAGAAGCAGTTAATGATTTTACAGAAAAGAGTTCGAGAACTCGAGCAACAGAACAACGAACTGAGGGATCGACTCAATCAATACGAACACAATGGCAATGGACTTAATGGCAATGGCGTCGGGAATCATCACTCAGTGAACAACAAGTTAAACAGCACTCACTTAGAGACCAAACACGTTATGAACGGCAACGATAACCATAAGGCAGAGACGCCATTACAGCCATTGCCACCACTTCCACCACTGCAACCGCCGCCCAGTGCTCTCCCGCGAGCACTTAATCGCAGTTTCTCTGAGAACCAAAGCGTCAATCTATTGGACTTAGATATAAGTCAAACGAAACCAATTGTCGGCCGAAAACTTGAAAACTTAAGCCTTAAAGAAGTGTCAGAGGATGACTTCAATCCACGCGCCGACAACACTAATGGCTTCAACGGCTCTGTTGAGCAACAAAACGGTCATTCGCTGAACGGTTCGGCAAAAGACTTGTTTGGAAGCGAACCGTTCACTGTTGAGAAGGGGGGCAAAGATCCCTTCGGAATGGGAGAGTTCGGCGCTCAGGAACTCGAGACAGCTATCGGTGCTATTGATAGAAGATTGGCTTCGTTTGACTTATATCTAAGTCCAATAGATTGACGCTTTGGTTCTCAGAGAAACTGCGATTAAGTGCTCGCGGGAGAGCACTGGGCGGCGGTTGCAGTGGTGGNCTCTCTCTCTCTCTCTCTCTGACATATTGTGTAACAATTAATACACATTATAGGACGGCTTTAGTCGCGGTCTCTCCTTCGGTAACGACGAGTTCACTATTGAAAGTATGGATCCTTTAAATCAGAAGACATGAAAAACACTTAATAATTAACTCATTGCTTGGATTTGTTGATTAGTTTCTTTGTATATATCAAACAATTATAAATATATTTATGTTTTAATTTAGTTTTTTAAAAATGTTAAACTGTTATTGTATTATAAGTTATATTAAATTTAAAATAAATTGTATTTTAAAACAAATGAACCTTTAATGCCATTCAAATATGGAAAACTAGTCGTAATAATAAACGAGTATAAAATGGTATAATTAACAGTATTCATGGAATTAAAATTATGTCAACAGTTCAATAGAAAAGTATGAAATGGTTTATAAAATTTTAAAAATAAACTATTCATTCAATTTGTCGATAAAAAGCTAAATAAGCGGTCGAAGCGATGCTGTCGTCGTTTAACAACGAATGAAGTCTTGTTTCACTAAACTTAATGATATTATTGTCATTGGCTTTAATCCAGTCGTTGTTTGCGAGTATATTGTGGCCACACATGCAGTCGTTGAGACGTCTGGTGTGAACACTGGTCTCTTCGTGCGATGAGTTGATGACCGCATAGTAGTGGCCGTTGTTTATATTGGATCCCATTGTGTGCACAACAAACCCATACAATGAGTATTTAATGACACTATCGTTAAGAGTGTAATCGATATTAAGCGGCACTTTGAACACCTTTTTTGGCGGAGGTTTTGCGCTATTTCTGGTCACCTTTAAAGTGAATCCAAACGGTCTCTTCATGAATAAGATCATCACTTGTGGCGCAACTTTAATGGTATTTCTAACCGAAGCGTTTGTTTTCTTGCGACAGTTGTGACAGTTATACATATTGTCATCTTTTAAATAATCCTTTCTATGGATTATATCAGCGAATGACTGCATTTCCACGTCTGTCACCGATTTGTCGCCACTTCTGTCATCATTAAGACAGAGAGGGATATGAATGTCGGCGAAAGAGTCGTCAGTGAGGCTACAGGTGTGGCATTCACTGCACTCAATGCTCCTCAGCATCACTCCATTGAATCTCTGAAATGTTTCGGCATTTAAATCGCTTGAATATCGTCGGGTATTGTATGGACTCTTTGAGTTTGAGATGACACGAGTGTTGGCCTGAGTGTTGGACTGCCTGTTCCCGAACAGTGTTTGCGTATAACTGTTGAGTTCATTGATAAGCCAATCGAGTAACTCATGACAATCCTGTTGTTGACCGAATGGGAATCGATTTCTAAATTTAAATAATTATAATAATAATTTCACTCATAACTAACAAAAATCAATAAAAATTACTTCAATAGTTGACAATCAATAAATGCAGTGATTGTGGACTCGTTTGTCGCGCCACTACTCTTCGCTTCTTTACATTTCAACTCATTTTCGCTGAATTTATAGTAAATCTATTTATAGTACAAACTATTGTTACAATCTTTCAATAGAGATTTGTGTGCAGACACTCACGTCGTGTAGACACGAAACCAATTGTTTCTCTTCTTCTTCGAGTAAATCTTCATATTTAGGGCTTTTAATGGTTTTGTTTAGATAACAAACAAATTGTCGAAATCCAGGTGTTATTCGCAACACTATATCAAGACATGGATTGATATAAGAGTGACAATTGATTCACAACTTGTTATACAGACCCTGAATGAGAGCGTTTATATAACACGTGTTATCGATATTCGGTAAACCAATTACTCGCGAGAGCTCTGAATTGTCACCCAATTTGTTCTCCTTATTCTTCGTGCCATCACTACAACTGGTTTTACTACTACTACTACTACTACTCGAATCCGTCTTTAGTTTTTTGCGGCCACTGCTTCTTCTGCCGCGCCTCATAGGCTTCAGGCCATTCACTGTCTCAGTGGTAATACCGTTGCCATCGATGGCATCATTGGTATCAACGGTTTCGTTAACCAGATTCAGTACATTAGCGTCCGTGTGATTAAAAACCGTAGATTTGTCTTCAGATCCATAGGTTTTGCTTCCGTAACCATTGATGGCTGTCTGCGAGCCGATCGGTGCCCGAAGTAGTGGTCGGTTCGGAACGTGCGAACACATGATGGGTATGGAAACTCTCACCTCATAGGCCTTCAATTGTTTCAACTGAGATTCAGTGACCACTGATTTGTCGACTTTCACTCGACAATTGTTTTTGTAAATTGTGTCACAATTTGTCCACATTTTAAGCCATCAATTGATCGCAAAAGTAAACGCAATCAATGAATGCGTTCGAGTCGTGTATGGCGTCCACTGGTCTTCGGGTGCCGTCTATGCGATGCCTTCTCCACACGGGTTGACACAAATGTGACCACAATTTGGCCAACAATTAACAAATTGAGTCAAACTTCGCGCCAAATGTCTTAATAGTAATCAAAACTCGTTATATAAGCGGTGATAATGAATGGTATGACTTATGTATTGACAATCGCGACAATGGATTGAGTGATGGCTTGAGTTGTTGTCCAAAACCAATTGATTGTCATTCATAGCGAAGACATTAATCTAATGGCAATTGAATTGTGTGCCCAAAACACAGCACAACAGTCACTAAAGGGTTATACAAAGTAGAGATGTGTGGCGTCTGTTGTGCTGTTGTGTCAATGAATGCACATATGATTGCATTGAATGCATTGCGTTTGTGTTGCGTCAACACCTCTACGCTCTCTCCCTCTCTCTCTGTGTGTTGTGTTGAACGCAATGATTCGGTGATTGAATGTTGTGTTTATTGTACAGACTTTTGGCTGTAATGTTGTGAACCATATTGTGATGTGAATTAAAGTTTAGTCAGTGTTTCACTCATTGCTTATTACAGACACTGTTTGGCGATTGAGTCACTTCTGCGGACAGGTGTCTGTCGGACACACACCCAGTGGTCGCACACACGGCGACTATCAGTCAGTACTGACACCACTCGCGACTGTCATTAGTATCTGCGGGTAATCGACAGTTAGGTAAGCGCTTCACTCATTTGATTATGTAATATATGTGTTGACAATTGGTTTGAATATATTTATAGACAATTAATTGATTGAATATGTATTGAGTGAGCAATATATGAGTGAATGAGATGTTAGTTGTGTTGTGAATGGGAGTGAATATTGTGTGGAAAACACATTGTCTTCGGCGGTCTCCGCACTTGTCATCGCCCGACCACTACTACTACTACTTGTGTCCACTCAATCCCATCCAAAACACACCACGAGTTTGATATACATATATCGTTAGATCCGTTAGTGATTAGTGTTTTGTTTTGTTTAATAACATTAGTTAATAATTAGTTAGCGTTTAGTAATAATGATGCGAACCATTCATCGGATGAGGCGATCGTTTTCGCT